GAAACAGCGTGTAGTGATTGAGGGTCAAGCATCTGACTGGTTAAATCTTACATCTGGTGTACCCCAAGGCAGTATACTTGGGCCTTTGCTGTTCCTTGTATACATCAACGATCTTCCTTACTCAGTAACCTGCAACGCTGATTCGTTTGCTGACGATACTGTCCTTCATCGACACATAGCAAATGGATCGGATTGCGATCTACTTCAAGAGGATTTAACATCTACCTCTGATTGGTGCAAGTCTTGGCTTGTTACTCTTAAGACCCAGAAGTGTGAAGTCCTACACATTACACGGAAGAATGACCCAGTAAGATATCAATATTCGTTGAATCATATCTTACTACCGGAAGTGGACCACCACAAACACCTGGGTCTTTGGCTGACGCCGTCTTTATCATGGGATTATCACATTAACTCAATTTGTGCTAAAGCTAACAAGGTCCTGGGCTTGATAAAAAGGACATTTGGTTATTCAAACAAGACTGGTATCAAAACAGCTTTTAAGGCACTAGTGATACCTATCCTCGAGTATGCCTGCCCAGTCTGGAATCCTTATCTGGTGAAACACACCAAGGCAATCGAAGCAATTTAGAGAAGAGCGTCCCGACTAATATGTGGCCCAGACAAAGAATATCCTGAAAGACTTCTAGAGTTAAAATGGGACTCTTTAGAACTGAGAAGGCAATACCTTAGCCTAGTTCAAATGTATAAGATTATATTTGGTTACTGTGATATCAATTGCCATCATTACTTTGATATTATTGGAATAACTCGAACTAGAAGTAAGCATGGGTGTAAAATAAGGCCTAAAGTTGCTCGTACAAATTATTTTCAATATTCTTTTTTTAATAGATATATTAACGATTGGAACTGTTTGCCTTCTGAAGTAATGTCATCCCCTAGCCTTCAGTCTTTTAAAGTTTCACTAATTAAGTACCTCCGTTCATAATTACCCCAAATACCAGTTTTGTTTTTTTTTGGTTATAGTTTTTTTTTTGAAGGGTATGTCTTAGCATGGGAATTTAGTTTCCCCCTACTACCATCCTGTCAACCATTTTTGTACTTTTGTTCGATGTATGATTACGAACTGGGATTAAAGATTAAAGATTAAAGATTGCGAAATAAGATTCATGGTGATTTTTGCGGATTTTTTCGGATTTTCTTTATCTGGCGGTGGCATACCTGAATATTTTTATGAGTTGTGCCGTATTTTGACTTTCCCCACAGGCTCGTCAAATTCAAACAAGGAGTGAAAGCACTAGGCAATACTACAAACCAATGAATAGTCTACTAGGTTATTTATGATCCAACTGCTTTTTATTCCGCCATGTCTTTCTGCTCATTTCTCATAAGGCGGGAACAGCAAAGTGGATAGAGAAGCGCAGCGTGCGTAGCCGACCGGTTAAACAGGTTTTTTTACAGTACAAAATAACCAACTGTACACCTGTGGTACATACATATATTCGCATTATTTGAACTCTACCTAGTTGGATTATAAAACCAAATTATCTTGTTGTACCCCTCACCGACGCGGCACCACAATTTCCTTAGAAACTAAACCAGTTATTCATACATTGTTGATTACAATGCCTGCAGCTGGTGCGAGGCCAAAAGCAACCAAAATATACTTAATAGACTGCGCTTGGAGTAGAAATCTCCCAAAAACTCAGCATACTTCATATACACATACCTTAACATTACTAAAATACTTCTCGAGCGCTTCACATGACTCTCACTTTCATACGATCTGATTAGTTATCCTTTATTTTTATTATTTTTATATTTTTTTTATTATTTTACGTTTTTCCAGTCTATCGAGTTCATGTTCCATTCAAAGCCGTTTTCTTCTTGATTAGTGTTCTTTGTTTGAATGAAATTTGATCATATGAATTAACGTTTAAGCGTTTGACGAAAATGAAATACCGTATGCATAAATCAAATGATTGAACAGCTCGTTAAAAGGAAATGTTTAGCAGCGAGAGAGGAAAATTAACAATCAGATCTTGGGAGTTAAGGGGTTTAAGTCTTTTGGAGTGATAGAATTATCACTAGTTCTTCAGATTACACAGAGATACTCTACTAGATTAAATCGTTTTGTAAAGAATCCTTTGACGGTGGCATATATGCATTGCTAACGAAAATCTGAAAAGGAGAGGCGAAAATTAATTAATATTACATGAGCCCCAAAAAATGTTTAGCGAAGACGTACATCAATCAACAAAAACGTCTTCCTCGGCGTTACTTCCTAGTTCCTAGTTTTATAGCTGCTACTGTGATGAGAGGACCGAGGAGAGCAAACACTGGCAAGTGAGACTTAAAATTGAGACCCCTGTGGACTGGGAATGAGTCGAAAGGAAAACTAAGATTTTACTAGACATGATGCTAAGAGGACACCATCCTAAAGTGAACAAAATGAGCATAATAACAACTACTCTGGGGAAGTAAGGAGGTATATGAGTTGTAAGAGACCTGACGTTGCGCGAGGATTGAGACGAATGAAAACTGAAACAGACAAGGAGATAGTCGCGTCTAATGAAGCGCGTAGAAGAATAAAGTTGAGGGCGATGAAAGAAGTGCGCATAAAAATGGGAATAAAGGAAAAGTACGATGAAAAAAAGGGAAGGAACAAAAGGAAGGAGAAAAAAGAGATGCACAAATGTGAAAAGGTGTTAAAAGGTAAAAAGGGCGCACACAGGTAACAGTATGAACACGTCCGTTGGCATTCAAAATCGTGTGACAATATGGAGAACGGTGGACAGTGAAAGAGACACAATCGAAGAGTCGACGAGCTTTTGTTAAGTGGGTGGGGGCTTGAAACATGGAATGTCAGTACACTGTCAGCTACAAAGATTATCAACTTGGCGCGCGCGAGTCAAAACAAGCATTGAAGTCCCCGTAGGATCTGTTCTCCCTGCATCTCACGCGAATCCTTAGAATATGGAGACAGACAATGAAAACAAACCTAGTTTTTGTATTTTATACACTCTCTATTTCTCTTACACAAAAAAGTAAAAAAAAGTACAATACAAACTGCATTAAATTGTTCAAGGCATTAAGTAAAGTACGCGCTAAACGGAGACACTGTAATGAACCCATTTATTCCCAAGATTGATCATAACTTAAATTCTCCTCACAAAATTAATGCACCGACAAACATGGTGTCAATAAGAATTAGAGAAAATCTAAACTAGCGGATTATTTTTCACTAGAAACGTTATGTTTCATTGAATTCTCAGAATGAAGCAACAAAGAAACACATTCTTATCAGTTGGGAGAATTTTTCTTCAGAACTTGGGAGTTAATGAGTTAATGAATAAAAACTAAGGTAAATGAACAAATAGCTTCAACTTTAATTACAAATAGCATCAAAACAATTCACACCAAATACACTGACATTATAAAAAAAATGTTTAGTCGAAATTGTCCCAGCTCGTTTTTAAAATCCTACGTTACATCATATTCAACCATGTGCAAGGTTAACTATTACATTTTATACTGGCAGCATATACCAATGGTAGTTATAAAAATCTGTCAAAAATTAACATTGATTTGACAAAAATTTCTTTTAAAACAGCTGTGATATAGTATACCTTAAACTTTTGACCACATAACGGGTTCTAATTACAAAGCGTGCTCTGAATACCTAAGTATAAATTCTTAAATCTAAGAAAGATATCATCAGACATCTCCAAATTATACTAAGATAAATTTAAAGCCATGAAAAAAATTTGCACAGGAAATTTTCCAAAAAAATGCAAGTTTTATCCTGAAGCCCTGAACCTTTATAACTACGGCCTAGATTTACATTTATTCATGAACATTTTCACGAAAATAATTCCCATTGAGGACTACATGGCTTACTTCAAGTATTTCCCTAATTTATTGGCGTAAATATTTTCTTAATAAAAACAACAAATTCCATGTCACATACATTAAAAGTCACAACAATGGAAACTTCAGTTAAAGTAAACTCTGCTTCGCTATTTCCTTGTTTAGATTACATGGACAATTTGTCTCTGTCGTCGATCTCTAAAACAAACTGATGAGTGTTTGATAAAACGGACTAAAATTGATCAAACTCGTTTGATTGAAAGCAGGTCGTTGTAGTCAGCTCTTTGACTTGTTGTAGGCCTTTTTCCTAGGAAATTTCAATTTTTGTTTCAACATTTGTAAGAGTCATATTAGAAAAGTCAAGCGGGCGGAAAACAATTGTAGGCCGGGCCCACGGGACTAGAGGCTGGCCACGCCCCTGATGGTAGGTCTAATGTCTCCAACATATGGTCAGTAAATTCAACAACATCATCTCTGATGACTACTTCTTCAAATTAAGCTTAGAATGGCAATCTTGGCACTGATGGAATTAGATTGCATTAAAATGGATTGAAAAAAAGTTGAAAATGATAATCAATTTTTTTGTAAAGATAATTGCAAATTGCAACAAAATAATTTATGACGTAGAAAAACCATTAAGATCAATTCACATATGGCTGCGAAGTTTGCAAATCACATTTTTGAAATTAAAATTTCGCCACCTTTTGCAAATGACAAACTGTTTCTTTTCTTATCAAAAGCTTAGAGTATCAACGTAATTAAAACCCGGTGGAGAAGGTCCTGGTTGTGTACAAGAAAAAAAGCCTTTAAATTATTTCACACAAAACTGATTGCAATAAAGGAATAGATCTGAGTGTCATTTTGGCGAAACGAAAACCTTGTAGTCGCCTTCAACAACTTCAGGCATTAACAGCAGAAGCCTTGTTGCATCTTGTTCTCTTCGGAAGCATCTAAATTTGTAAAGGTAAAAAAATAGCAATTCCACTGAACAAAATATACTGAAATAGTCTGTTTTATTTCTTCATCAAAGTAAAGTCACACATCTCAAGTTCCATTTAACAAAAAAAGTGAAAAGTTATGAAAAATAGTCAAAAAGCGCCAAAATCGAGAAGCATTTAAACCTTCCAAGTTCCTGCGTCATTCATTTTGAGATGGAATAAAAAAAGTTTTCATTTATGTGATTTCATATTCAAATTTTCTCTTTCCTTTGCCATGAAGTCAAGAGTGACGTCATCTCCAATCAGCAAAAAGGGCGCCCAGTGTTTGATGTCGCAGAAGTTGTCTGATTCTCTGAGGCTTTTCATGGCCAGGTTCAGTGACTCGCTTGCTGGTTTACCTCCTGCAAGTTGTTGATAAAAGTGTTTCATGAACTCAAGAGTAGCCTCGTCATCAATCGCCCACAGGGACGCCACAATAGACCGAGCACCAGCCCCCATAAAAGCGCGCGCAATGCCAACCACACCTTCAGCCTTGATCTCGCCCCGGCCGCTGTGGCAGCAACTAAGCACAACAAGTTTGGCCCGAAGTTGAGCATTCAACACATCTCCAATTGTTAAAATGTAATCCTCCTCCGTTGGCACAGTAGATATTCGGTCTGGGTCAGGTGTAAGAGCAATTTCGCCAGTTTCCATACATCCGTGTGCCGCAAAGTGAACTAGGGAAACGGAACTGAGTCTTTTCAACACCTCACGTTTCGTGGCCTGACTGCCAGTGATCGGCGTGATATTCAGAATTTTTCCGATCATTTCTACTTCTTTTTTAGCATACTCAAGCTGCTCGAAGACTTTCTTTCCCTCGCTGTTAGTAACCTCGGATACCCACGGATCTCCTATAAGTAACGCACCACTGCTTTTGTGATAATCATCTGGGCAATCGGCAATGAGTCTAAGACTTGCTAACGATGGAGCGACTCGAATTGTGAACGATTCACACAGGTATTTAGAATTACCATCCTTCAATGCAGCGTAAGGAGCGATCCACAGGGGTCCATCAGGAATAATGAGTAGCTCATCCCCTTCAATCAAGTCCGCCACCGGCTTCATAACGATATCATACAAAGTGCTCAAGCATCCGTCTTGTTGGATGTGAGGTTGAGGCTTGGCTTCTTTGGTTTTCTCATCCACTTTTGAACGGCCCTCCCTCAAAGCATCTAAAGATCGGTTTTCGCATCTCACATTAGAACGAACACCAAGTTGTGCATAGACACCGAGCATGAACGACTCAAAGGATAGGCTAGATCCACTATTCTCTGAAACAAAACCTTTGAGTTTACTTTGTCTTAACTGAACTTGTTTTCCTTCGGACACAACCCAAAGATTGACGTTAGCTTTGTCCACTGCCTGAAAGACAGTGTTTGATGGAACGTTTTTTAAAACTGCGCAATCTTCATCTTCTCCCTTGTGGTGACTTGTTCCACCACAAAAACTGGATTCCATGAGGTCGGTCAGAGCTTGAGCTCGTCCTTTCTCAGCAACAAATAAGGCTTCATCTACATTACCTTGTTTTACGAGAACTCTCCACAAACCCGTATACGCCACTTGATGCTGATTTCGAAAATTAACTTTCCACTCATCTTTAGATATTAGAAGTACTCTCAAGGAATTGAATAAGTTTATGCTAGCTTGGTAATGTTCAACGGCTTTTGGAAGTCTACCTTGCAACTCAAAATCCAATCCTAATGAATAGTAAGCCGTTGCCTCCAAGGATTTGTCTCCTACTTCTTTAGCTATTTTAAGATGTAGGTTGTGATACTCTATGGCTTTTTTGAAATCACCCAGACTGTCATAAGCATTGCCAAGACTGCCATAAGCGTTACCCTCCCCATGCTTGTCTCCTACTTCTTTAGCTATTTTAAGATGTAGGTTGTGATACTCTATGGCTTTTTTTAAATCACCCAGACGGTGATAAGCATTGCCAAGATTGCCATAAGCAGCACCCTCCCCATGCTTGTCTCCTACTTCTTTAGCTATTTTAAGATGTAGGTTGTGGTACTCTATGGCTTTTTTGAAATCACCCAGACGGTCATAAGCATTGCCAAGACTGCCATAAGCGTTACCCTCCCCATGCTTGTCTCCTACTTCTTTAGCTATTTTAAGATGTAGGTTGTGATACTCTATGGCTTTTTTGAAATCACCCAGACTAAGATAAGCATTGCCTAGATTGCCATAAGCACCACCCTCCCCATGCTTGTCTCCTACTTCTTTAGCTATTTTAAGATCTAAGTTGTGGTACTCTGTGGCTTTTTTGAAATCACCCAGACGGTCATAAGCATTGCCAAGATTGCCATAAGCACCACCCTCCCCATGCTTGTCTCCTACTTCTTTAGCTATTTTAAGATCTAAGTTGTGGTACTCTATGGCTTTTTTGAAATCACCCAGACGGTCATAAGCATTGCCAAGGTTGCCATAAGCACCACCCTCCCCATGCTTGTCTCCTACTTCTTTAGCTATTTTAAGATCTAAGTTGTGGTACTCTATGGCTTTTTTGAAATCACCCAGACGGTGATAAGCATTGCCAAGATTGCCATAAGCACCACCCTCCTCATGCTTGTCTCCTACTTCTTTAGCTATTTTAAGATGTAGGTTGTGGTACTGTATGGCTTTTTTTAAATCACCCAGACGGTGATAAGCATTGCCAAGATTGCCATAAGCACCACCCTCCCCATGCTTGTCTCCTACTTCTTTAGCTATTTTAAGATCTAAGTTGTGGTACTCTATGGCTTTTTTGAAATCACCCAGACGGTCATAAGCATTGCCAAGATTGCCATAAGCACCACCCTCCCCATGCTTGTCTCCTACTTCTTTAGCTATTTTAAGATCTAAGTTGTGGTACTCTATGGCTTTTTTGAAATCACCCAGACGGTCATAAGCATTGCCAAGATTGCCATAAGCGTTACCCTCCCCATGCTTGTCTACTACTTCTTTAGCTATTTTAAGATGTAGGTTGTGGTACTCTATGGCTTTTTTGAAATCACCCAGACTAAGATAAGCATTGCCAAGATTGCCATAAGCACCACCCTCCCCATGCTTGTCTTCTACTTCTTTAGCTATTTTAAGATGTAGGTTGTGGTACTCTATGGCTTTTTTTAAATCACCCAGACTAAGATAAGCATTGCCAAGATTGCCATAAGCAGCACCCTCCCCATGCTTGTCTCCTACTTCTTTAGCTATTTTAAGATGTAGGTTGTGGTACTCTATGGCTTTTTTGAAATCACCCAGACTAAGATAAGCATTGCCAAGATTGCCATAAGCAGCACCCTCCCCATGCTTGTCTCCTACTTCTTTAGCTATTTTAAGATGTAGGTTGTGGTACTCTATGGCTTTTTTGAAATCACCCAGACTGTCATAAGCATTGCCAAGACTGCCATAAGCGTTACCCTCCCTATGCTTGTCTCCTACTTCTTTAGCTATTTTAAGATGTAGGTTGTGGTACTCTATGGCTTTTTTGAAATCACCCAGACGGTGATAAGCATTGCCAAGATTGCCATAAGCAGCACCCTCCCCATGCTTGTCTCCTACTTCTTTAGCTATTTTAAGATGTAGGTTGTGGTACTCTATGGCTTCTTTTCCCTGAATATAGAGATCTATGACTTTCTTGACATCACCTGAACTTGCACTACCGTGGTCATGACTAATAGGATCTTTTTCCTCCATGGACTTATCTCCCACTTCACTGACAGACTGAAGTCTTAATGACGACAAGATCCTATTGTTTTTGTCAATCTTTTTTATGTTAAGGGTTAAAAATGTGGAAAAAACAAAAATATACAAAATAAATACATATCTTTAAAATTTTTGTGTCCATAGGAAAGCACAACGAAAGTTTCTGAGTCTCTAAGTAGAGGCAAAAGGTCGAAGGCAGAAAATCTGCATAAGATATGTAAACATTAAAGAGCTTTTCGTTGTGGCTTGTTTTAGAGAGATCATCTACCCAAGCACTATGTATAAACTGGATGAATATTAGTCTTCTAACCCTTTAACTCCCGTGAGTGACCAAAAGAGAATTTCTCCTTACAATAGCAATACAATATCAATCAGATAAGTGTTGAGAGTAAAAAAAAATATATCAATTTAAAAATAGTTAGTTGATGCAATACTGAATTCTCTGTACTAACATTACAAGAATTGTATGGTTGACAGTAAGGATAATTACAAATTTGGTCTGGGAAATTAAAGGGTTATTTAAACTAATGTACTAGTTATTGGCATGGATAGTAGAAATTGTCAAAGTCAAATTGGCTAAAAGGAGTAATTTCATTAATAAGTCATGAGGTAATAACTTCTCCTATGTTTTTAATCACACACACTTAAAGTACATGAGCTGACAAGTTCCCATCATAATTAATACCCTTCTTTGTATTTTCTCCCTTGAAAGTATATGAGCTGGAAACTTTTTTCCATTATACCCACGGTTAGAAATGAAAGATTCCTTCAAAGGATACAGCTAGTCCCTTATCACACCAAGTGATTGCTTCTTCAAATCTCTTCAATTCAATAGAAGCAGCGGCTCCTGTAGGCAACAACACAAAGAAGCATACTGTTACTGTAGCTCAATTCTGAGAAAAGAACCCGAAACCATTGAAATCATCACAGACCAGAAGAAAAAAAAAAGGCAAAACAAAACAATACAAAAAAACTAAACGGAAAAGAATAAACAGGCCCTATTAGGTTTCAGTTAGATTTATTTTGCTTTACAGACAACTGAAACTTCTAAGAACACTTAAATTGGGATCAACAACTCCCACAAAAACACTAAAAGTTAGGTAAGTCCTGATCCTTCTTTTTAAAACAGCTAGATAGTGACTTAAGAGCGCGTCCATGAGAGCACCGGGTAGTCACGCTACATGCCATCTCACCGATTTCAATGAAACTTTGTCAGTTTAAAGGGTCTACCCCAAAACTCAAAAAAACAGACTGGTTTCTGTTTTGGTTATTTCCGGGTGGATATAGACCACCCCGCCGGGTTTTCTTGGTTTTCACCAAGGAAATCGCTTCAAATAGGTAAAATGTATGAAGCTTTAACTGCAATGGTATTTAACCGATTACTTTGAGAATTTGCACACATATTTTTACATCCTTAGTTAATGGCCGCCGCGAGTATCAGTCAGTTTGATTGACGGCTTGTCAATGAACAGAGGCAAATATACGACTTTGGTTTTAGACTTTTCGATTCATCTAAATATTTTACAACTTTGAGGTCAAATATCTCCCGTTGTCAGAAAGCTACAACACAAATCTTAATTACCCTTTATAACCCATCATTTCATCTCTGAAAATCATCAAAAAAATCTTTGGGCACTACCGTATTTTTGTCTTGGATACCTTTTAAAATCTGCGATTGTGACAAGTTTCTCTCAACTACACCTGTCCCGCAATTCTTGCTCTAGGCGGTCACTTGACAAAATAAACCTACATTTTTTAGCTCTTTATACAAGTTGATTGGTCAAGAGAGGTGAAAACTGTGAAAAACTTTCGAGATTTTTTGTAGGAATGGAAAATTTCACGTTTAGAGAGATGCATGTTGACGGAAGATCAATGGGAAGATCCTAGCGTTTCTTTCTTCCGTCGTTTATTACTTTGAAGATTTGCTAAAATCAGGACATAGGGCTCTTGTACAGAACAAAAAATTCATTAGACTATACTTTGATCGTCTATTATCATTATCGCACAGTTTACAATGAGGAAACTGTAACAGGAGAGGAGATTTTAAAGTCTCATGTCGCCTGCTTGTTGACGTAAAAGTTCCCTAGTGTAACAACTTCGGCTTTTCCATACCGCGACTGACGGGAAACTCTGCCCTCCTTATTTGTTAGGAAATATCAATAACCCCATGAATTCATTAACTACGCCATGTTTCCAGAAAATAAGACTGGAAAATGTTTTTTCTACTTTCCACCATCAAGAAATTCCACGTATAGGAATAGTATTTGTAGGGTCACTGCGTGACCTTTTATGAGAAGTAAAAATTGTTCATCTTTTTTTTCAAGAAGGTACTTCTAGAAAGTTCCTAATCCTTCTGTTATCTTATTTTCCTGTTTTTTGAATGCAAATGTCATCTGCATTTGCTATTATTTTCGCTGATTGTCATGGCCTTTCCTGCGTGCATGTGCGAGCTAGTTCATATACAGGACTCTTTTCGAGTTTCCCTGGCTGGTGTCGGGCTTATGTGTGTAGGTCTGGTTCAAAAGATATCTGCATGCTGCAACACGGGTTCCTATGTTTTCTCCTTTTTCTTTATTTCTCTTTTCATTCTCTTGCTTGCATTATCACACATTTATGTTTTTTTATTCCCTCAGCACGTTCCCTCAGATTTGGAATTAGGCCATGAAAAGTCAATATTGACCAGAACTGAAATCCTCTTCTATCACTATTTGTTTCAGAGAACCCCCCTCATTTGTGACTTTATTTCTCAAGAAAATGTGTTTTTATTTGCTATTTATTTCCATTAGAACATGAAACTAGGTTCTGATAAGTTTTTTTTGTCTCGTGACTCCCAAAAACCGTGTTTGCGACAACATCAATTGAGAAATCAAAGGCAATTAAGCCTGAGAAATTCGCTTGTAGCCTTCTACCCGCAGAAGGCAACTCTGAAGTCTACTATTGTCAGACGAAACGTGTGGGAGATAAATACAAGTTTTTACTTTCTGAGTTGGTGCAGTGATGCTCACTAGTTTGTTCCGTCAAAAATGCTTTTAATGTGAAGTCACGTCGACCTCGACAGAAAAACTAAGCTCACCCTGTCATAATCAATGGTTTGATACCGTAAATACCAATTTAGGTACATCATCGGGCTTTGATGACAATGATGAAAAAAATGTGCGTTTCCTCACGCCCGCCACGTTTATTCTTTGGAAAATTTTTTTACTGGAGGGCGATGTCGCTTAGCTTGGCGCGTCTTGACTCTGGCCGACGAAAATTATCGAGGTGAACTCCATGAAAATCTAGTCAAATGTTTAAAAACTTTGTCTACCCTTGATTTGCACGCAGAAAAAAAGGCAAATCCCGAACGGTATTTCAAAACACTTTACTCATTAGTCAATTTATGAACTGTTTCATAGCAGCCCGAGGAAAAAGAAAAATTGAAACAACCGGCGTATCGGTTAAATGAATTCCAATTTTTTCAACAAGGAGTTGGTAAGTTCATTTTTCCTAGTAAATTTAAGTGGGGGTCATTTTTTTGTGACAGCCGATCAAAGATAGACATCTCTGAAACGTCTCTGAAACTCTTTTTAAAAAGAGCGTACACTTCCGGTAATATTTTCCTCCTTCTCGCAACAGCGCAACAGACATTGTTAATCCTATGTAATGTAGTTGTATCAGTTGTATTACGTCTTCATAGTGATGCCATATAAGAAATCGAGTGTCTAAAAAGCCCTCAATTCAATCTAACACTCGAATTGATAAAGTCAAGATGGTGCAGTTGTCTTGTTCATTTGCAACTAACTGTAGAACCAAATGTTACTTTTTCTCGCACTGGCCAGGGACGGCAACAGCTCATACCTCTAAATTCGTGGGTATACAGCTTAAAAAAAAAAACATTTGAGAGACGTCGATGTATCCCAAACATGCGTTTCGTCCGAGATGGAGCTTATTTTAGCGCGTATTGGCTTATTTGGAGATTACGAAGGCCGCCATTTCACGATGTACCTCAAATATCGTGCACAACTTAGTGTGAGATTCAGACCTTCGGGTTCGTAAATGCCAGTATCCTCCTCATAAAAATCGGAGAAACAAAGTGAGAGAGAGATGAATCTGCAGATGGCAGAAGAAATCAAAGCTGGTGGCGAGTCTTTCTGGTGGCGGCAAGGTGACTGTAAACCTAAATAGAACGCGTACTGTAGCTGCTATCTTAGAGTCCACAATGAATAAGGAAGAAGGGCAAGTGGAGCGCTTATCTGAACATCAGCTTTCCTAACTGGTGATTTGTGACTGAGATGAACTTTATATCATATGATTGCTAGGGATACGCAGGTACTGTAGAGGCGCTCACATAAATAGAGGTGGGCGATCCTCCCTCTGACTTAAGAACTGCGACAAGTTTATAGCGCAGACCAACTGGCACAGTTTGAAGCACCTCAGGGTCTCACTAGGCTCATCAAATTAGAAACCTTCAGCAAACTAGTCGTAGAAGCGGGTGCTTATCAGCAACGTGCACAGATTTCTGAACGCGGGTCATCGCGAGAACTATACCCAATCCGTCATAGACGGAACAAGAAAGCGAGATATTCTTGCTAAAAGAAGGATGTATCAAGACGTTTCAGTCATTGGCTGCCATCCAAATGTACCCTGACAAAGACAAACACAGTGAAGCCGACAACAAATTCCGCCTAGGATAAGATCAAGAGGAAATGGACAAAGACCGGCTTCCCATTCTATAGGGGAAGGCTACGTTCGAGGTCGGACCTCAGGTAAAAATTCTTACGAACAATCCCTAACTAGCCAAGAGGACTTTGGATGGGCTCTTTGGAAAACACAAAAAACAGCCACCTTTTCTCAGAAAGCAGAGAATTATCTCCTAGACGTGTGCTGGACAAAGGAGGAAACTAGTAAGGCAACCGCCTCTAATGTGATTTCCCAAATATGGAGTTTAAGAGACGACACCAGCCAGAAATGTTGTCTAAGACTGACCGGTTGATACAGCAGCAAATCGCTCGATACTTTAGCCGGGTGGTCTATCTCCCCCCGGAAGAACCAAAACAGAAACCAGTTTGTCTCTTTGAGTTTTGGGGTAGACCCTTTAAACTGCCAAAGTTTCATTGAAATCGGTGAGATGGCATGTAGCACGACTGCCTGGTGCTCTCGTGGACACGCTCTTAACATATCTTACATCTGTGACTCATTGGACTTAAGGAACTAAAATTTTATGCTGAAATTTTGCTTTGCATTCCGCATTGAGTTCTTCATCCCGTTAAAAATAATATTCTTATCATGATTAATGGAAAGTAATGGCGTAGCAGTCAAGAGCTGGATTCAAATGTACATCAGGGTGGTCTCGACCTCTTAATTAAAGTCAATTGAGACAAGATTGAACTCCATTTAACCTCATTTAACCTTAGAGTGTTGAGTTCTTTTGTTATTATTATTATAGCACAGCTAACATATCTAACCTCTCACAATTGCCTTAAGGAAAGTTGGATTTAACTCAATTGCTGCTTCTGCATCCCTTAGTGAATCCTGGTGATTTCCTGTTATTGAAATAAATATCTCTGATTAGCCATACATGTTGCAAACCAACTACCATTACTATAATTTTGAGAAAAACTTGTGATGCTCGTTGATATCTGGGGTGAGAGGTTACTTCTTTGTATATTTTAGAGGCCAAGATAAGATGTAAATTTTTCCGGGCATGCATTCAAAATTATGACCTTTTTCGGAAAACTACTACTGACAACTCAATAGCTTCAAAATAGAAAAAAAAAATGCATATTAAAGCTCTCATCATCTTACCAACTTTAGAATGTGCTATAGCCCTGTTGTTGTGCAGTTTGGCCTTCAGTTCTTTCTCGTTGCAGTTCATTTTAATTCCTTTGGTGTAAAAATGAATAGCATTGATGAAATCTCCTTTCTTGAAGGCCTCATTGCCCTCATTTCTGTAAACATCAGCTGTGGCTGCAAAGAAAAAATAAAATGATTCGAAAAAAAAATTAAAATAGGTGTCAAAGTCTGTGGTCGTAGTTAATAATTATTAGGGTATAATCAGAGCTGCCAAGATCTGGAGATTTAAAATCTGCAGATTTTCAATAGTTATGATGATGCCAATGATGTAGGTGACAACATGGGTAAGAATAATGATGAGAGTTAGGCATCACTCAACTTGAGGCAAACCCCTGGGCATTTCAATTTTTGGAGATAGGTCTCCTAAAATTCCCATTCCCTGGGCAAAATTAATAAAATGTTCAAATGCCCCACATAATTTTATGTAAAAGGCGAAATAATTAGCAATTTGACTTTCAACTAGTTGATCAAGCTTTAAAAACTAATTGACCAAGCTTTAAAACCTAGACCTTGAAGCCTTATTTCTACTGAGCCATTTGTTAGTGAAGGTACACTATCTACCTTAAACACCTCCATATTCAATGATAAATAACACTTGTGCTCTACTGGAAATTAGATGTGACAGTTTTTATTCGAATTCCCTAACGCCAGTCAGGCAGGGTTAAACCCCTCCCCCCCACCCTCTTTGGCTTGGATGAAGATCAAATGCCTGTGGGTTGCTCGAGGATAAGGGAGGGAATGTTGAAGGTTTCAAAGTGATTGTGTTTCATTAAATAAGAAAGATGATGGTGATGATGATGATGGTACCTATGATGCAAACTTACACAAAGGATGTTATATGATGATCAAATAAAGTCTTAACTTATTATAACTTTGTGTTATTGTTTTGAACTGCTAGAAAAGAAAATAGCAAAAGTTTCTGTGTCATAGATCTTCTCAATGAACAGCATATTGTAATCATAGAAGAGAGTCATGACTGACCAAATATCCTTTAAAGTGTTCATGCAGTGTATGTATCCTTTTCCACATCTGCTTGCATTCTTGAAACTGATCGTGATCGAATAGAGATTGTTCTAACAATTACTGAAGCCGAAGTTGAACCTAGCTTACCTCGTAAAGTGTCCTCGTCAAAATTTGGTGCATTTTCTTTGTCAGGTAAGTCTTCATTTTCACATGGAACTTTAATTGAACTTCTTCCTGTAGCCATAGCAACTGTGAGAAGACTGATGCTACTTACAAAGTTGTTCTTTTAAGTCATCCTAGCCTGAAAAAAAGGTGATTGAAAATGGTTATAAACATCAGCTAAACATATTACCCAGTTGCAAAATAAATATTTTTTCCCTTCGGAGAATGGGAGGGATACTTAGACACAAAATCAGAAGCCAATTAAGAGCTAATGTCAACATGCATCAGACAAACGGCGGCAAGTCACCCAAATTCGTTTCCTCTCCTACTTTCACATTTTGTAGCCCAATATGTCCTGATAATTGTGGTGTAGTATTTTTATGAAAATACATTTTAGTTTTTGAGAAATGATGTTTTTCGTTGGACCGCTCAAATATGCAAATTTTCACTCTGAATATTACCCGAGTTGTGTGACCTCATGTAACGAATTTACTCGACCTCCGGTATTTCTGTCGGCATAATCCTTTGTTTTATCAACTAAACTTAATCCCCTGACATTATTGAGGATGGCAAAGAAATATTTATTTTTTGGTAATTATTTTTTGTCCGACATACTTTTTCTATGTCGAAAAGTAGCATCAAAACAAAGACAGTTTTAACAATGACCGATATGACAAAATCTACTGAGCTTCTAGCTTTTAAAAGACAAAAGGATGGTTATAAAGTCATTGTAAAAATTTTCTTGTGCAATTGTGTTGTTCTATTTTGAGACGAACTCAAAGTCCGGCAAAATTTACTTGCTAGCGACTATGAAATATACATGGTGCGCCTACTTGTCGCCACCTTTTATTGGCATATCGAGGCATAAATCACTACAATTTGTCAACAAATCTAACACAACACTCTTATCTAAATCAACTGGACACTTATGACAGGAAAAACAATGAAATGTATACACTAATGCATGCTGATGTATGTTGATATGGATTTCAATTTGGTACAGGTGCTGATGTTTGTGGTTTACCAGTATATGTATATTAAACTAATTGTTTTTGCAATCATTTCATGTTTACTCTGTTTTGTGCTCAGAATTGATTTGTCTTTGATGCTAACTTTAATTATCCTGATAATCCAGACTAGTTGTTTTTCAAATATCATAAAATCCTTGCTGGCTGTCTTCACGTACAAAAAATTCCAAGAAATGTAGAGGTACAAGGAAATCAATTGTTCTGGAATTCAAAATAGCCTTAGATACATGTACAGTGTAGATCACATTTTCGAAAACCAGTACTAACTTCTTACTAACCATTCGAGCACGAGTCTTTACTAGGGAATATTGGCCCAAGGTTACGGCAGTAAAGAAATGTCATAGTGCCAATATTTCTCAGTACAGCTCACGAAAGCAAGGTGATACTCATGCATTAATGTCACTTGCACTAAACTAGTTTATTGGGAATTTTCTGGCTTCCAAGTAAAAACATAGGCATGCGTAGCATGCAAGATTTATTTTTTTTGACCGGGTGGGATGAGATGGGACACTTTGTGTACCTAATGTTTTTATTTTTGTAACAGAAAAAGAGCATAATTTTATAAAAGATCGAAAATATTGCATTACTTCGCCTTAAGAGAAAGAGAGAAAAAAGGTAATTTAGCTTAACTCACACAGGTATCTTGTGGTCTATTTTCTCTATTGTCTAAATACTTCTAAGCAAAAATGAAATGGATCGGTGCCACGCTTACTGTTTTCTTCTTTGCAGCAGTTGTTTGGTCTCGTCACACAACGCCATCTATTCCCCGACGGAAAGAGAGCGCGTAGCGTGATGAGACCAAATAATAGTTGCGAAAGAGACCACGCTTACTGCCGTTCCTCTACCAGAGAGAGAATCACAATTATTCGTCTACAGTTAGATGCCTGAAAAATATAATTCCATGTAATTCTACTACGAAAATCAAACTGAAACTCTGTTGTATCTCCAATAGACTCTAACCAAAGATATATTGCGATCTCGACCAATGAAGATACATTTCACAAGAGAAAAGGATAATATTTGAGAGAGTGCTCCTTGATTGGTTGTTGCCTATCTGGCCTTTGCCCTCTGTGTGTGAAATACTTTATAAAATGCTGGTTGTTTACAAGGAATAAACACGCGATTGGATTAAGTTCAAGGTAGTTAAAAGCCGAGTTTATTCGTAGAAAAAATCAAAACGCAGGAGAATTGCGTTAAAAGTTTACTATTTGTAGCACTACTTAGTGTGAATTTTTTTTTTTCCAGTGGGGTTGGACATTGCGATTAGAATACGTGATTAAATGCAGATTGTTTACAAGGAAATGACACGTGATGGAGCGAAGTTTAATTTGGCAAAATGGAATTTACTTGGCGAAATAAAATTTGTAATCAGTAGACTAGGTCAGGGAAGCAAAATAAAAAGAAATATTCATATCCTAAAAATCTGCACACCCCCTCCCCTACTGCCTCCTTCTACTTGCTTTTCTGATGGTAATTTCGTTTCTAAGTATTAATTCACTCTATTTGAGACAACAAGGTAGTTTTCCATTACCAGAAATCCGAGATATCGATCATACTTGACCTCTCCAGGCCTTGGCCAAGAAACAATTATAAAGAAATGTGTGGGATAAAAAAAAATGTTCAAAATCTTCAAGGATCTTTCATTTTCTTGTCAAGATCTTCAGGGGTCTTTTATTTTCTTTCCAAGATCTTTAATTTTCTTGCCAAGATCTTTACGGATCTTCGAAATTTTCCTGCCAAGATCGTTCAGGATCTATTTCTTTCTGTCATTTCACACTAAACTAATAGATAAATATTCGCCACCCAGAATGCCTTCAATGAAAATCACCAACGGGTAGCACTCATGATTTTATGTGGAACGAGCAAATGCAATTAGGCAATCTCATTTCAAATTTTCGTTCAATTTTACTCGAGTTATGACGAACAAGAACGAGGAGCATGTGGTTCACTCATTAATTTATGCAGGACAAAAAAAAAGAGCAAAGAAGACGATCATTTATTCCAAAATCTATGTGTGAGCTGGATTTCAGCTTATTTTCATTTTCTACAGGTGTGCTGATAAATATTCAGTTACGCTGTGTTCTTAATATAACCTACATTTTTTCAAAAGAAGTCAAATGATGTGTTAAAGAATTCGTATTTTGATTTGTCGCCTTAAATTTTTCTCTGACTGAAAATATCTGCCAAGTTTTGTATCATTTAATAAGCAAGGAACGTTTTACATCTTCCCCTCGAAACGTGTGTTTGTGACAACTGCTTCCTCTTTCAATTTCTATAATGCGAACAGGATGTAACGCGTAGACGGTAGTTTATAATCAAAATAAAAAGGAAAAAGGCTTCAGATTATCTCGTAACACTCAGTTTTCTCGGTTCTCACTAAATATTCTTCTAAAAAAATATAGTAAGCAGGGACACAGCACTTTAGATCGATAACATTTTCATAACTTGCTCTTGTCTGCGATCATATGGTCTAGTGTGTTGTTGCCGGCTCACTTTGCTGAAAGACCTATATGAAACCAAGACCCCACGCCTCATACCGGATTGCCTATATTTTTCATGTAATAAGTTTTTCTTTGTTAATACAAACTGGCAATGTTATTGATGGAACACTGCGAGTGGGTGAGACAAAAATCCACTTGGTCTAATTAATTATTTCAGAGCTTACCTTAAAACGACGTTTCGTCAGCGATGGAGCGTTGAATTCGTCCTTAAGAACCTGTTAAATTTGTAAAATTTTGCAAGACCGAAGTTATTTGGATGAGTTCTTCAGAAGGTGACTTATAACACGAACGGTGTCGAGAGGGTACTCTTTTCCTAGTGGTCTCACGACGTAGGAATATTTGATTTTTTTCCTCTGAAATTTAGCTCGGGATAACCTAGAAGCAATGCTTCGAGCTGGGAATGGCGAGCGTTAGAAATTTCTCGCTGCCACCGAAATGATGCAAATGACTCACTTTTTGTTTCACGACCGTAATGATGTTTTTACCATTGCGTGACATTCTCAGGAAAACCAAAAGTTGATGACGCATTGTGAACGTTCCCCAAGGAAATGAGTCATAAATAGTGGATAATACACGGGCGCGCGTAGATGCGAATTTGGTTGATGGAATACAATTCAAGCGCGTGAAAAATTGCCTAATGTTCACGTAGTGCAATGATTGGGTATATTCTAATGGACTTTGGACGTTGTTTTTATGGTACGTGATGGAACGTGAGTTGTTAGGCGTGTTCGTTGCGCGTAAAGGAGCCGTAAAAACACGTTTGACTTAAAAATAATACAAAAATTGAAATGCGAAACTTTCATGTCCCGATAAATCTCGACCTTAATCAACGAGGCTCTTGCGAAGACCACAAACCACCACGCTTATCAAATGAGCCCAAGATTTCTGGTTAATGTTATTTTTTGTGCACAGCCCCCTGATCCATGACATCATCTATAAGAACATAGGTATACGTAGCATGGGTGGGTTGAGATGGGACACTTTGTGTACCTAATGTTTTCATTTTTGTAACAGAAAAAGAGCATGACCTTCAAAAGGAGGAAAATATCGCGTTACTTCACTTTGTCTGAACTCACACCACAGGCAGCCCAAACTCCAGCTGCGAGATGATCATCTTGCGAAATAAGATTCATGGTGATTTTTGCGGATTTTTTCGGATTTTCTTTATCTGGCGGTGGCATACCTGAATATTTTTATGAGTTGTGCCGTATTTTGACTTTACCCACAGGCTCGTCAAATTCAAACAAGGAGTGAAAGTACTAGGCAATACTACAAACCAATGAATAGTCTAGTAGGTTATTTATGATCCAACTGCTTTTTATTCGCCATGTCTTTCTGCTCATTTCTCATAAGGCGAGAAAAGCAAAGTGGATAGAGAAGCGCAGCGTGCGTAGCCGACCGGTTAAACAGGTTTTTTTACAGTATAAAATAACCAACTGTATACATGTGGTATATACATACATTCGCATTATTTGAACTCTACCTTGTGCAGTTGGATTTAAAAAACCAAATTATCTCGTTGTACCCCTCATCGACGCGGCACCACAATTTCC